TAAAATATAAATTACTGATTGAATCAGTAATATGGCAGTGGCAGCAAAATCTACTGATTTAACAGTTAATTTTAAAGGTTATGTTATATTCAAATTACTAATTTACATAAGTTATTTTCTATTGCTTTCATATTCACTAATTATATTAGTAAATTTCAAAAAATAACTGAAACTTCAGTTAAAATGAAAAGTACTAATTGAATTAGTATTTCTACTGATTCAGATTTAGAGAACTTATTTTTAATACCAAAATGTATTAAAATAAGCAAAATTGGATTAAAATAATAAGCGTTGCAGCTTATTTTAATACCATATAATTTTCTGTCCTTTCAAATTCACTTTTCCTTTTATTTTTACATTCGTTTCATTTTGTTTTTTTTTTTTTTTACCAAAAAAAAGGAAATTAGCATCGAAAGTACGCCACTTATTTATTATTAAATTGATATATTGAGGAATAAAAAGCAAAAAAAATTTTTTTTCTTTTTACTAATTGTGAACTTTTGTTATTATACAGAGATAATTTGAAGGCAATTATTTTGAACAATATATAACGGCGTATAATAAAGACACACTGGGAAGTCTATATATATATATATATGTCGGTCAACTTGGATGTTCTCTCACCGGAACGAGATTATCGATGATGCATTCGCGAAACGACAAATACAGGGACAAGCGCTCGAATCGTTATCCGGTTTATTACGAGCTACTATTGGAAGCCTGGTACTCGTCGCCATTCAAATATTCACATATACACCGAATATTTATGTATATATATGTGTGTATGTGCGCGCGGACAATGATAGAAAATCAATATTTCAATGAGAATACATCCCTTATATTAATTCCTATATATGACACGTTACGACCGCATAATTGTCTATATATATATATAATTGAATTTATATCAAAAATAGAAAATAGCAAATATTTATAACATTACACAGGGAAAAAGGATTTCCACAATTGGATTTTTAATATAGAATCAAAGAACAAATTTTTTTATTCACACTGAAAAAAGGGTTTGGTTCAAACGTTTGGTTGGTATTTAAGCAACCAAAAATTTTTTTTTTTTTTGTTGAATCAACAAAATTTTAATTGTCTCAATCAAAATTTGTTTGACACAACCAAAATTAGGAAAAAAAAAAAACGATTTTTGTTGTCCTAACTAAAGTTTAATTGTGACAACTAAAATTTTGTTGATTCAAGAAAAAAATTTTAGTTGCTTAAATACCAACCAAACGTTTGGTTGTCAATACCAAACCTTTTTTTGCAGTGCATCTAACAATTCGAAATTTTTTTATAATAATTCAATAAAAGTGTTAAGAAAATAAAAAAAAAAAAATAGTAATTTTTTTTTATTTTTAAATGAAATTAAAAATTACATTTTTTTGAGAGAGAGAGAGAGAGAAAGTAAAATAAAAATTTTCTATTTCAATATTTGATAATATTGTAATTTTTTTTAAATCTAATTTTAAGCAATTATTCTGGAACATCGGATAATGATCGATCGTTTATTATAATTTATTAATTAATAACGAGGCATATCAAAAGTTTGAACTTAATGATAGACGTTTATGTGAGTGTATTTAAATTATTAAAGCCGATATATCAGTGTCATCTTATATATATATTGACGCCAGGTTACATCAGTTAATTAATATATTTACAATCAAGAAGCGTGCAATGAATTAAAAAAAAAACACTTTTCATCGATGATGATGATGATAATGAAAAAGAATCATTTATAGCAGAATCATAAAATTTTATATCTCAACACTTTTCTTATGTTTAATTTCTCTTTTTTAATAATTAATTATTATTTAATTTATTAATATTCAATCATTTAATATTTAATAAATAATAATTTTTTTTTTATTTCTTGTGTAAATTAAATTTTTATATGTAAAGTATTTTTTTTAATTTGTAGTTTCTTTTATATACAGAAATTTTCTTTTTTTTTTTTAATCTCAAAAAAAAGGTGAACATAAGCAGAAATTGAATTTTTTCGAAAGTGGATATCTCGGTTTTTCCAGGCATGCTTCTGAATGTCATTTTAAGCCACCTAAGATGTGAAATGACCTCATCCTATATGTATATATATATATGTGTGTGGTCCTTGCCTTTTTCCTATCTTCTTATTTCTCATTCTTTATTCCTATATATATACTCTACTCTTTGCTCAAGATTTTCTATATACTTTTTTTTTACCCTTTGTCCCTTTATTTGTCTCCACGACCTTTCTTTTTTTTTTTTTTTTATTCTTTCCTAAGAGATCGTATAAAGGAAACTTGGTTGAAATTCAAAGGTTGTAAATATACACAGAGAGGCGCGATAAAGAAAAAGTGATTAAATTATTTTTTTCGCGATTTTATTTTTATATTAAAAAAAAATGTAATTTCTTTTCAAGATTTTATTTTTTAAATAAAATATTAATCTTTTTAAATAGAAATAAATAAGAAAAAAAAATGGCGAAATTATCGCAGAGAAAAAAAAATCTCCGAGGAGACAACGGTATAATAATAAAAGAGTTAAAAAGGCTTCTTTGTAATAATTTCATCAACCATAAAAAAAAGTTCCAAGAGTAGATCATAAAAATTGTATATAAAGAATCAGATTTAAAATTGCGTTTTTTTTTCTATTTCATTCACAGAGTTTTCTTATGTTTTTCTCTTTCGCATTTTGAATTCATCTTCTGTTTCGATTTCTCTTGCATTTCTAATGTATATTTGTTAAGGTATTTTTTCTTATCTCCCTTTTTCTCTCTCTCTCTCTCTCTATTTTTCTCGCTTAATGTTCAAGAATAGAGCCTATATCAAGAGAAACGATCTTTATCTCATACTTTTTTTTTCTCACACCACAAAAAACGCCCTTTTTCTCCCATCCCCCCCCCTTAAGGGTTGTTAGGCACTACTTTTTTTTCTGTGACAAAAAAAAAAAAAATAAATAAATTCTTTAAAGTAAAAAAAAATTAAATTTCAAATAAAAAGGACAACAATATTTATATTTATTTCGCGGAAGCTGATATTATTTCCGGGATGAAAATTGAGAACAGTAATTTTCTCCTCATCGAAGGGAATTAATGCGATGGGAGAGTATATATATATATGGCGTCTCCGGGGCGCCGTTATAAGATGCTCTGAAAGTGAGACAATATAATTAGCGTTCATTTCGATCCATGACGCCTTTTCCTATGCTTCCTATATAATACTATATAGCGTGAATCTTTTATTTACCGTTCGCCATTCTGCTCTAGATATCTTTCTCATTTAATGAAAAAAAAAAAAAAAAAAAAAAAAAAATAATGTTCCCTCGATTTTTTTCTCTCTTCTTATTCTTATATACTACGCTTCGTGAAATAGGTCACGACCTTCGTAAGATTAACCTCGAAACGTGCCGATAGAATTATAAAAAAAAAAAATTTTGTTTTAAATTCGAAAAAATAGATATTATTTTATTTATTATTATTATTATTATTGTTGTTATAATAATAATAATTATTATTATTACTATTATTATTATTATTATTATTATTATTATTATTATTATTATTTAAAATTATTTATTATTTAACTAATTGTCGTTCGAAATAACTTAAAATAAAAAAAAGGTTAATTAACTTTTAGCAGAAACTAACGCATTTTTTTTTTTTTTCTGGAAAATAATATGAAATGTAAAAACTTTTCAATGTTGATAAATTTAAAGGCTCTCTTTTAAAACTACGAGTGCATTGACTCATGAGAAGTAAAAGGACTGGAAAATTGGAAATGAGTCGCTTCGTTCATAGTCGACTAGAAAGTCGATGCAGAATTTCCAATTAAGAAAAAAAAATAAATAAAAAAATAAGAAAGAAAAAAAATACTTTTTTTACTTCCAATTTTTAAATTCAGTTTTACTTGCGACTTAAATTTTCCTTAAAAAAGAAAAATAAAAAAACATTTTAACAAAATATTTTATATATGATTCAATATTTAACTTCACTATTTTTCATACTATTATTACTTGTTGATAATAATAATAATATATTATTATTATAATTTATATAATTAATATTACTTATAATAATAATAATAATAATAATAATAATAATAATAATAATAAATTTCAAGCAATAAATTCAATAAATTGAAAGTAAACAATAAATGAATAGAAAATTATTTTCCGACTATTTTCATTGAGAAAATAATGGTATTCATTTTTTTTTTTCCAATTTACAATAGAGGAAGGGGAGTGTTATAAAAAAAAAAAATTGTTATTTGAAAAAGAAGTTAAGTAAATTGTTACTTAAATTTATGCAGTTTCGTAGGAAGCAGTAATTCTTCACTACAAATTATCGTCCATTAATGTATTCTGCGAAAAAGAAGAATCAATCACTTTAACAAAAAAAAAAAAAAAAAAAAAAAAAAACTCGCAGGAAACAGCGGATTGTCCGCTTGCTTTGTTGGCTGAACGCCTCCCTTTCAGTTCACGACTATAGAGTCAGGTTTGACTCTTAATGAGTGCTTTCAGATAGTATATATATGCGCATTATTTATATTTATCTAGAAATGCTCTTTTTTTAAATTCAAAAAAAAAAAAAAAAAAATATCAAAAAACGAAAAATTTAATGTATAAAAAATTATTAATTTTTTTTTATGTAAAAAAGAATAATTGAATACTTATTATTATTATTATTTTTTTTTTCTAGAAAATAATGAAAAAAAAATTTTGTCAATGGTTGCGCAATATTTTGTGCAAACAAAAAAAAAAAATTAAGTATCAGATAAAATTGAATTAATCAAAGTATAGAAAAAAAATATATCTTTCTAGTGACAAATTTATTTTTTTAAATCGACATTATTGGAGAAAATTATTAATTTAAAAAAAAATCGAAACAATAGTTTACACATATAAAGTAAAAAAAAAAAAACAAAAAAAAAATTATAATTAGAAAAAAGAGAGCACCGATTGTTACAATAATAAATTGAATGAGAAATAAAAAACATGAAAAAAAAACTCACCAGGTGTGTGGCTGCAGGGTGTCGGGGATGGGTTTTAGGGCTATTAGCCTGCCGCGCTTATAGGGCGCATACGCGCAACCTCCACCTCCGAGCTTCTCTGGCTTTGTCTCTGCATTCTGTGAAAATAAAACACAGCTCGTTATTAAAAGTTACTGCAAGATTAAAAGTTAGATAACAGTCGAAAAAAATACATACATACATATATATATATATATATATATATATATATAAATTCTTTTCTTTCGAAAGAATTACAAAAAGTATAACAATGTTATTTTGTTTTTCGAATTGAAACAACGTCAGGCAATTTAATTAATGACTCAACACATTTTTAAATCAGAACTTTCTATTTTTTTCTATTTCACGATTGTCACTTCCTATATTTATAATTAATTATTATTATTATTATTACTAACAATTTGTATTGATTTTTTAGTCAAAATTGAATTTTATTTTGTATTTAATAGAAAAAATCAATTTAAAAATTTTTTTTTTTTGGTGGATCCGATATAATAAAAATGTGTATAAAATAAATAATAACAATGTGAGTTATAATAATAGTAAAAATAATAATAATGATAATAAATTATTTTCTGTTATATTAGAAGATTAACTGATATGCAAGGTCGCAAATCTACGTATACATACGTAAGTCTACGTATATATATATATGTAGATCGTTTCATTCCAATATAGCTAGTAAGGCGGAAAAGTTTATATTGGGTTTCATATTTAATGCAATATCTCCTACCACATCGTGTTGAGATAAATTATTTATGTCGAGAGAGAAGTTGTGACGCGAAGATGGGAAAATCGGGAAACACGAGACTTACAGAGAAAAGCAAAAGAGAGAGAGAGAGAGAGAGAGAGAGAGAGAGAGAGAGAGAGAGAGAAAGTTGAAACGTGTCTACCCGCCGAGTAAATCAAGGACAGTTCGTGTAGTTTTATTCGCACACCATTAAAAAAAAAGTAAAATAAAACTCGTATTCATAAACATTTAATATTTTTCAACTAAATTTTATGCAAAATTTATTACACTTAAGTACTGAAAAAGTAAAACTTTTAATTAGTAAAAGTGGTATCAGACTTTAAAAAATGTTCGAAATTTTTCTAGTTTAGTAGTAACGGACATTTAGAGTCAGACTATAAAAAAAAACCTCTAAAATTACCTTCGTTTTCTTCTAAAGTAGTAAAGGACAAAAATAGTCGGACAAAAAAAAATGATTTTAACAGTAAAAAAAAAAAATTATAATATATTTTTGTAATTTTTTGGTATTAGTAGTAAAATGCGTTTTTAGTCAGACAAAATTTAGTAGAAAAAATTCGTGGCGCTAGCTAACACTTCTGGATTACATAAGCGCCACCAATCTAGCAGTGGCTAAGAATTTTTAAACTAATTTTTTTATTGTAAGTAGTGGAAGAAATTTTTAGTCAGCCATAAATTTATTGTAAATAGTAAAAGTATACTAACAGTCAGACTTTCACGAGTGTTGAAAATTTTTAAAGCATCTAGAAATTTATGATTAGAGAAAATAAAATTATAATCTACTTTCAGTTTGTTGAACATAGTAAAAGCCAGACAAAAGAATATTTCAATATAAGGTATAAGTAGAAACAATTAATTTTAGTCAGACATAACATTATTTTAGGACTTTTTTCAGTATATCAGTAGTATAACACAATTTATGGACGGACAAAAATATTTAGATTCTTTTACGGTAGTTGTATAAGTAGTAAAAGGCGATTATAGTCAGACAAAAAGTAATTTAGTGTCAGTAGTAAAGATTACTTTTAGTAAGAAATTAAAATTTTTGTATAGTATATTTTTACTAGATAGTAAAAAGTAATTTTAGTCAGATTTTCAAAATTTTTTGCAAATTTTGGTATTAGTAGTAAAAAACGGTATTAGTGGGAAAAACCAAATTTTTTTCTAAATTTTCTTAAAATCTTTTTAAAGACTAATCATTTATTTTTATAATTAAAAAATACAAAAAAAAATTACAATTGCATTAAAATTCTGCACTTTCTGACAGTGAATATTTGAATTGCATCAGGAAACGATATATCGTTATTCGAGCGTTAATTTGCACGTCCATTAGTGTCTATTATATATATATATATGGTACGTGGTTACATGGTGAATAATATCTGCACACTCATACAAGTAGTAAGACAAACGGTTGGACTGGCAATTACAGGTGCGCACGCTTTTACTTCAGAATGAAAAGAGTTGAGGAGGGCGAGATGAGAAAGAGAGAAAGAGAGAAGGTTTTTTTTAGAGTAAAAAAGAGAGATGAAGAGAAAATACAGATGAACAAAGTGAGATGAAAAAAAAATTTTAAGAGAAGAATAAAAGCGAAACAAAAGAGAAAAAGGAAAGACGAATAACGAAAGAGACACTTGGTAGCAAAAGGGACGGAAAGGGAAAAAGAGAGAGAGAGAGAGAGAGGGGGGGATAAACGTGCCAGGAATGTAACTCGCGAAAGCCGCTCTCTCGTTGAAGGATGCTGCTTATTACGGGTCCGCATTTATGAACCCATTAATAATGCGCTCCTTTCGCGCCATGTTTGTAATTTCCACCGCGACGGATTATCGTTCTACATTCAACCAAAAAGTCAGCAACGCAATCTTGTAAGATTACTGGACTAAATTTCTTCTAAATAAACACAAAACAATCAATTTCAAGAAATTCAACAACCATTACTATATGTAAATTACCATTATTAAATAAATGTGACGCGATCTGAAGAAAGGGACCTTAGAAGCAAAAAATTATAGGTTACGTTTGAAAATTTTAAAGTGAAAATACACAAAAACGTTAAACTTGTAATGCAAATTAATGATATTTAGGTCTTCATTAATTTCAAAATATTTAATAAAGACTAATTTCAGTTTAAAAAAAACAAAAATAAACTTGTAGTTTAAGTAAAACTGTCTTAATGATAACCTATAATTCATTTGCTTTTAAGGTCCCTTTCTTCAGATCGCGTCACAAATAAATAACAATAAATTAATTATAAATACTAATAAATTAATTAATAAAATTATAAATTTCTCATTTTTATGGAAATTGGAATAAAAAAAAAACAGACGAGTGGCGAGTTGAAAAAAAAGATGAAATTATGACAAAAATGATCGTACGGTAAATTAATTTCCGGTTGAAGGAAAATTATATGACAATAGTTTAATTTCCGAAATATTTTACAATATAAGTACCGTGACCGTTATATTTTAATTATTTCATAAAAGGATAAAATAAAAATGTAGAAAAATCACAAAAAAAAAGAAAAGTATTGGATAAAAGAAAAACAGCGGAGAATAAAGAAACAAAAAGGAGAAAAAGTTTGTTTTGTAAAACAATTTACTTTCTTTTTTTTTTTAATGAAAATTTGACAGCAATTTAAAAAAAAGAGTGAGGGGAAAAAATAGAAAATTATAATTAAAATAAATTGAATTTAATTATAATTTTCTTTTATGATTTTGGAATTTCTCGGAATGTGTATTAACAAAGTTATTTTAGTGTAAAATTTAGTTCTACTGTGTATTTTATATATACATATATACAACAAAATATCAACCCCGACAAAGTAAATTAATTAATTAAAACTTTACGCTAATATTAATGTTTCCATCTCGTATATATTAGATTTTTAACTCGTGCTTCAAAACTTGTTTCTGAAAGTATAAAGTATATAATCTATACTTGCAAGTCACAATTAAAGGCGATGTATTTGAAAGTTTCTATACTGAAATTAGTGACAGTATTTCTCTTCATTTGTTTATAGAATTTTTTTTTACTTTTTTTTCTTTACTTTTTTTTCTTTACTTTTTTTTCTTTTTTTCAATTTATAATCAATGCTATTATTAATTATATAAAATAAATGAATTCTCCGAAAAAAATAAGATTTTGAAAGACGATAATGAACGGTTGGTAAAAGCTTGATCGGTCAAGCCTTATATTCCAACTATATATATATACTAATTGGAATCTTCTGCCAACTTTAACGAGGTTATAGTTCTTAACAAACCCAAACCAAGATTTCTGGTAAGTCGTTTCTTCCAATGACTTTAAATTGTCTTTACAACTTTGCCGCTTCCCTGCCTCATACAACTTTTCAAGATCTAGAGAAACTTCTGATTAGTTCGCAACTTTTTTTTTCGAAAAAAAAAAACAAGTCGTAACATCTTTTCAAAATAGTCAAATCGTGTATTATATATATATATATATATATATATATATATATATATATATTATAAAATGGCTAAAAGTGTAACAGAAATAAAATAAATGTTTTAATCAGATTAAAAAAAAAAAAAAATACAAAAAGTTAAAAGTAATCACATTCATTAGTCAGCTTTTTGTTTAATTAATTCTCATATGCCAGGACAAATAAAATATAAAGAGGAATATTAATCTTTTTTTCAATAATGATTGAATAAAAATAAATGAATATTTCATTTAATACTTTGCTTTCAATTATCAATTTCTTTTTTTTTTGCATTCACATTAATCTTTTATACCAGACTGTTTACTTTTTTTTTTCTATCAAAATATTGGTCACGAGAGAAAACCAATAAATTAAATACACTCACTAGCCAAGCAACGATTCATGAATGAATTCATAACCTATTAGTTTGTCAATAAAATTGATTATCTACTAGCGAATTTTATACTTTCATATATATATATATATATATATACAATATAATAGGCTCTTAATATTATATAGATAGTTAATCTAGTTGTTAAAATATCCAACACCAAATATTTTTAACACTACGTTTAATTAACTCAATAATTATTTTTGATAAAAAAAATATAAAGTTTATTTAAAAATAATAATTAAAATCAAAGTCACAATTAGTTATTGGGAATTAATTAAAATTTTCGAAAATTTATTATCTTTGTTTTGTGAACATTTTATATATATATATGAAAGTACACTTAAAAAGTACGGCAATTATCCTATATAGAGTTGCGCGAGAGGCGTGAATTATTTTCAAGAGTCGACACGGTCACCTGATATTATTAACGGTTCGTGAGCAGAACGCGTGTAAACGAGGCGCGAGATGAAGTTTCTGGTAAGAAGTCTGTTGCAGACGACGGCAACTTTAA